GTGAAGGTACAGTTCAACAGATTTCCAAAACATGTGCAGTGACTGCTGTGCCTTTCACCATTTAATCTTGAGACAGTGAAGTCCTCACAYGTATTTCGGAGTTCATGCTTCATTGAAGGAATGTATTGTATGACTTGTAACCTTTATTTCAACAAAGATTCTTTTGAGATGCTGCCTATACCTCCCCATTTCTTTACCACCCTTTTCTACACACTCCTAGTGTTAGATCCCTGTGCTTTAACTGTGGCATCTATTCTTTCCTTTTATAAGGATTTTTGGATGATATGTCAGACTTCAGTTAAAAAAATACCCATTCTAGTGAGTAAAGAATAYGTTTGTAAAAAGCATTATTTGTTCCACATAAAAGATGCAGTCATGTTTCTATTTGTTATTTAAGAATAAATTAATCTGCTTCMTAGCGTCATCATGTTGAAAAGGAACCAGATGCTTACTTGAGGGAACAAGTCTCTGTAGTTTTTCATTTACCTTCTAGTTTGTGGATGATGTTTGAGAATTTAATTTCACTGAATTGAAGTTAGCCCTTGAAGTCATAAGTTTACTTACTTACTGCAAATTTTATACATAAGATTAAGTGGATGATCTCCTTTCTTAGAAACTTGCCTTTAAGGAAAAACATTGCAAAGTCTGAGAATGTTACCTGAGTGTTGTTTTAACCTAGAGACTAGAAGTGTCTGTCTTTCCTAAAACAGTAAAAGGTGTAATTTTTTGATAAACAGAAGGTGTTAATTCTGTTGCACTGTTCAACCTGTAAGCAACAGGTGCTTGTTGTGCTTAGCAGTGATAACATCAGTGATAACATCAGTGATAACATCAGTGATAACATCAGTGATAACATCAGTGATAACATCAGTGATAACATCAGTGATAACAGTAGTGTAACAAGTGCAAGTAGCCTCTCTTCTGCATCCCTGCATTCTAAACTTTGCCATCTTATGTGAAACAGTTATAGCTCACCAACAAGTTTCTTTCCCAGTATTTCTATAAGTAAGTAAAACTATATTATGAAAAAGTGGATTAAAAGGCCTACATTTGCTGGWAAAGTAATACTAGTAGGCATCTTAAAATGTTACAGGAAATGGCAAGGTGCTGGGATGCTGTTAGGAGCCCACATTTTTTAAGAAGACAAGGAAATTGACAGGGTTGACTTGTGCTATATGTTGAAGAAAATTCTATAAAAAAAGTTAGGATGTTACTTGTATCTGCATGTACATCATGTACTGCAAATGGAAATTGGGTTCCTCGTGGTTAAAATACTGTCACAGACCTGACTTAAGAAATGCTTATGAAAATCATAGAGGTTATGTGGACAAAATACTTAAGTAAAAACTATCCCTGTATTGGCTGGCTGAGTATTCCACTGTTACCTTTTTTTTTTTTTTTTTCAGACACCACATAATTCCTTCAGCTAGTAGAGAAGTTTGCCTGGGATTAGTCGTGAACAGCATACAGGATCTTGTTTTATATACATAAGAGCTGGGGTTTTTTGTGACTGTGTTCCAGTAACCTTGTCTGAGCAAAGATGATTGCAAAAATGCAAACTTCTGTAACATAAAGTTTTTAAAAACAATTTCGGTTTTTAGAAGCTTCTTCAGGTGGAAACCAAAAGGTAGAATGCTCCAATGGTTGTGTTGTCATATGCTGAGTGTGAGTATGGCATTGATTCTAATCCAGAAAGATATAGAGCAAGAAGATGATCTCTATGAAGCAGAAACTGTTGAATTAGGGAAACTGGAAAGAGCAAACAAAATAGAAGTCTGTTAAGACAGAGGGTAGAGTCCTGATTTGCTAAATTCATTAAGACCTGGAAGTCTTGCACATTGCTTTGCATTGCATTCTGGCAGAGAAGTACTTAAGAGACTGTTCACCAGAACTTTCTCTGACTCCAGGCWACTGTAATTTTAAATTTCAATAAGAGTTTAAATCCAGTCAGCAGAATGGTACCTGTTGTACACCCATGTCTTGTGCTATTTGCTGAAGAATTTCAGAGGAATTAGCTGTGAGTATGGCTTGAACTCTAAATGAGCTTTGATTATCTAGCCCTTTGTTGTAGTTCTGTGCAGACTGAAGCATTAAACCAAGTACTGCCTTGCCAGTGCAAAATCGAAAATATAAATCTGACTTCATATTAAAAAACAGATCAGGAAAGGAAATGTAGACTAGTGATGAATGATACTCTTCTGAGTCTTTAACCATGTTAACCATGTGGTTAACAATTGTGACCGTTAGCCATCTGAATAGGAGCTCAGTGAGGCATCAAAGTGACAATACTTGTGTTTGGCTATTTTTCTGAGCTCACTGATGCGCTGGGGCTGAGTTCACTGATGCACTGGGGCTGCTTTTGCTCTTGTGCTATGTATGGTACAGGTTGTGGTGCATGTGGGGACGGAGACCCCTTTTATTCTCCTTCCCTAACACAGGATGGCTACTATAAATGCATTTTTTTCCAGGAATGTCTGGATCTCCTGGAGTGGTTGGATGAGGCTGATACCTTAACAAAACAGAACTTCTTGTGTGAGCAAACATAAAGAAAGGGTCTAGTGCATGTTTTGATACAAGTACTTGTCTCACAAGTCTCATTTTCTTGAAGGATTCATTGTTAATCCATRTTCCTGTGTTCAGTTTGATAACACAGCTGCTGGATTTTTTTCAGATGAAATTCTTTTTGATGACTGCAAAAACCACACATTTACAGGTTTGCTGGATTAGTTGCTTAGAAATAACCAAAGGAAAGAATCAATTATTTACTGTATGATAAGGGAAGGTTGCAAATAGAATTACTTAAGACTGTTGCTCARTATATTCATAAATACCTGCGGGGAAGGAATGAGTGAGAAAAGAACAGAAGGATAATAGAAAGCTAGAGCTGACTGCAGACAGAYGCAGTGGGAGTTCATTGTTCATTAGCTAATAAAATCGCTGGTAAAATTAAATTCTAGTAAATATAGAATCATGACTGAAGAAAAATAATCCAGGCTGAATATACCCAGTGGGTGGGCTTTACATTGGTGGTTTTGTTCAGAAAATGCCTTGAAGCTCCTTCATAGTGGTCTCTTAAAGAGCAGCTGTGTGCTCAGATACCCTCAAGTAGCAGCAATATTCACAAGTGTAGGGACAAGAAAATGGAAACAGGTGTATGTCCTGGGCTGARTGGCAGAATTCCCTGCTGTCTCTGTGTTTCTGCTCACCTGTCTGAAAATGTGCGAATTGAAAACAAGCCGAGAAAGGTTTGCAGCCATCACACTTTGGACTTGTGTAAGGAGACAGAAACCAATGAGAATTAGTAGCTTGGAAAACAGTTGGTGGATAGAGATAAATGGATATGAATTGAAAGCCTGAGAAGTCTTATGTTTTGAGATTAACTGCCASTAACAACTTCTTTTGCCCTAAGAAAAAGCATCAGATAAAACCATTAGCAGGCAGCACACTTAATTCTGATGCATACTTAAATTCTCATGGAATGCCATGAATAATAAAGCAGAAGTGGACTAAAAGACCTGGAAAAGTCTGTGGAAGTAAAGTCTTTTGTGCTAATATGCGTCATGGTTGGGATTCACCTTGAAAGTACGCCAGAGGAGATTACTGGAGTCTTGGAAGGATGGCTGCCCCTTTGCTTTTGCTGCCTTTCCTTACTTTTACCCTGCATCTGCCTACTGCAGATTGTCATGGGCAGGGGACTAGGAAGTCTTTAGTTTGTCCCCACTGCTGTTAGGTGCATTCAAGTACATAATTTATTGGTCTTTTTGTCTTGGAAAGGTAGGGAAAAAACATACTTTGTATAAACAAAACAAAATAAGAGCATGTTAGTTTGCATTTTCTGTTTTGCTCTAAAATTTTGGATTCCAGTGGATTAATCAGCAAATGGAAGTGTTAGTTAAACCTGCTTTGTAGTTAAATAGTCAGTTCTGTGTCCAGGCTCAGTTTAAGATAAGAGAAAGTGTAAACATTGATTCTAAGTATGTATGCTTTTTCGAAGTAACTTTGTGCTTTGCTGCTAAATCTTTGTGCCTAGGTATCCCTAGCGAGGGAATTACCTAGTAAAAGAARTTGTAAAAGTCTCAGATTAACAACTGAGTTCTGTTAGAGATGTATGAAATTTTCCTTTTGGAAGGGTAAATATATAAACTACAGATAGATTTTTGGATTTAGGGCAGTATTTGGATTTCACTACAGTGTTGAGTAGATACCTTTTGTGAGTTAGACAGAAATCTTATAAATATGTCAACATCAAAAAGATGTCTTGGAAAAATGTCACAGCTGTAGTTATTTGCATTTTTTGTTTGGCATGGCTTGATGCTTTTCCATTGAAGGCAAACATGACATTCACCTGAAAACTCAAATTTGGCAGCAAGAGTTCTATATATTGGTGGAGGTGAAACAAAAGGGCTTAATAGGTGTATAAGGTTAGAGTGTCAGAACTCCTCACGTAACACTGGTATAAAAATACTTTACACTTGAGAATATATTTAACATTTCTCACTTTGAGTTCAGTTGGAAGGTCGCTTTGTATATGAATGAATGGCTGATGAAGGGCTTGAGTGTCAAAGGAATCTCCATTTGTCAAAGTGGACGTTTTCACATCAAGAAATACTCAAATGTCCTTTTTATTGTCCCCTGCAAAAACTCATTAATGCCAGTAGCCTCTTTGCAGTCTGTAAGTTGCTACATACAGAGAAGTAAGAAATCCTGGAAGAAAAAACATGCTTGAAGACTTAAATTAGTCCTGTACTGCTTCACTTTTGCATCATTATGTAGATTTTAAGACTCAGCTTTGATTTTGAAGAAAAAAATCATTGAGAGTCAAGAATTGAATTTGGCCTTCACTGTTGAACCTGTAAGAAATTTAGTAAATGTCTRATAGAGTTAGTGTTCCGAGCTCTTTGGTTAAAGGAGGATATGAAAGAAATCCTATGGCCAGTTTCTGGTAAAATTTATTGTAATAGTTAAATTGTCACTATAACTGATCCTACTTTCTCCATTAGACTACATGAAGAAATAATTGACTTYTATGACTTCATGTCCCCTCGTCCTGAAGAAGCAGCTATGAGAAGAGAAGTGGTAAAAAGAATAGAAACAGTCATCAAAGATCTTTGGCCTACAGCTGATGTGAGTGTAACTTGTGATTTGCTTCTTTAGTAAATTGTAGAGCTTGGTGCACTTAACCTTGCTTTTATCTTACTTTGTTTTAGAAATTTCCAGGTCACTCTTCAAGCTGAAGACTTAGAATCACAACTCTTGCAGTATTTGCAGTATTTGGAAATTTATTTTAAAAAGTGGGGAAATTTCAAACCTAGATTTAGGGGTAATGTATGTTACTGAGTATTGTTTTTCATTTTGAGAACTGGAAATGTGAAGAATTGTCAGCTTTTAGTAGTGCATTTCTTAAAGTAAAACCTTATTCAATTGTTTGTGTATATTTTAATTTTGAATATTAAACTGAGACTGCAAGGAGTTTTGAYTGTGGATATTTGTAAATCAAAATATTTTTCAAAAGCACAATTAAATGCAGATTTTCTTTTGTACTCTTCATGAATTTGACATTTGGTGAATTACTTTAGCCCTACTGTAGAGGGAAAATTGCACTCCCTGAGACACCTTGCAATCTAAGCTGGTGTAACTTTAAATGAATGCTTTGTTATCCAATGAGTAAATTTGCTCATCCAAAAAGAATGTAYTGTAAACTGTATTTCTGGCATCACCTTTGCGATTACCAGATTGTAGCATTGTCAYTAACAACAACCAGAAAGGTATTTTAGACCACTGTGATTTCATAGCCTTCCATGGCAGAGTGAGGGATCAGGCCACAGCGCTGAGCTAAAAATACTGTAAAGCTCATCTACTTCATCCTCACCCATGTTTTTCCTTCATAGTAAGAATTCTCTACCTTGTGGAAATCAGTGTAAGCACTGAAAAGACCCTGTGTTGCCCAGGAGAAAACTAAGTGAGCTTGTAAATTGGGTTCTGCTGTATGAGGGAAGGAAGAACATCTCAATTCTTTGGATGGGAAGCTTGCTATAAGTTTTTGATGTGTCCTGTGGTTATATCTTTATCATGCGTTCTTTTCCACACACAGATACCAGCTGYGACTTCATATTCGTTCTTAACAGTAAAATCTGGAGTATTTATATTTATCTGAATTGTATGTTTAGGTGTTCTTGCTGGTTTTTAAACCTAAAAATTTGGAAAAAAATTTCCCTTAAACTCTTTCAATTTCAGTAAAGCTGTCCTGTAAGCAAAGGAAGGAGCAGGAGGGAAGGAAATGGATAAAATCTTGTATGTCTGTCAAACTGGAAATAGTGACAAGAACTTGCTTAAATTTATTCTCTGCTAGCTGGATTAGTAGTTAATTCATGTTATAAAAGCCCAAATTCCTCTAAAGTGGCCTCTCTAAGAAAAAGTGTGTTTGTATAGAGAGTATATAGTAAAGTAACTTTTTAAATTGGCTACAACCTTAACAAGTCAAGAAAAAGATTAAGTTTTGTGGAAGTAAAAGGAAGTGAAAATTKGTAATTACAAGATTTTTTTTTCTGTATTCTTTTCAGGTCCAGATATTTGGCAGCTTTAGTACAGGGCTTTATCTTCCAACTAGGTACGTTAATAGTTTACTCTTATATAAAAGTTTGTCTTCTTTTAGTGAAGTGGTAAATCTCAAAGAGGAGTTTAGACTGGAATGTGAAAAACTGTCAAACTTTCAGTAAGACTTTTATCTAATATTTCATGTGGCAAAGGGAAGAGCTGTTGAATGTCAAGATTTGTGATAAGTATTTGATATATCATGCTGCTCTGCTCTGCTTATTGACCCTTTGGTGAATTACCTTTTCTTCTTTGTGTCTGGAGTTAGTCTTTGGCTTTTTTTTTTGTTTAGTATTTCCCTTGTAAAGACTGTGTTTTGTCTAATGATGAATTACTGAGAATGTGTTGCTTGTCATAGAGTTACAGTGTAAAGTCAAAAGAGYTATCACAGGGCTGCATTCCCATCTTTTTGGAGAGTAAACTATCTTACTTAATTTGGCCTTTTATATCACTTAATGGTTCAGTTGGATGTGGAAACSTGTGTAGCTTTGTCTTAAAGACTATGTTGTCTTTACCTCAATCAAATTTTCAGGAAGGCAATAGAAATTTCATTTCTATGAATAGCAATCACTGATAAAATTGTTTGGTTTATTAACATGCCTGTCAACATGAGTAGATAGATGAGGGATATAACTGGGCTTTGGAARTCAGAGGGAAGGGAGCATGGAAGATAGAAGGGAAAGGAGCTCAAAGGACTGCTCAGAGTACTGGAGGTAAGAAACTGGAATACTGCTTTGGGTCCCAAAGCACCATGGACTGTCTTGCTTAAYGTTCCTAGGAAAATTCTTATTGGGAACCTACATTGCAGGTTGCAAAATGATCACCTTGTACAACTTATAATACGTAGAAYGCAAATTTTACAATACTTTCTGGTAGTGTATTATGCTTTAGACTTAATGGATTTCATGCTGTGTTCTTTTTGTCTAGTGATATTGATCTAGTTGTTTTTGGGAAATGGGAACGACCCCCTTTGCAGCTGCTGGAACAAGCACTAAGAAAACACAATGTGGCTGAGCCATATTCCATTAAAGTACTTGACAAAGCTACGGTATGTAATAGCTTTGAAATACTGAACTGAAAAACTTTCAGACCCTGTAGGATGTTGGTGATGAATACTGTTCTTAATTCATGAAGCAAATGGTATTATCTTGGTGATAAATAATGTTCTGAATTCATGAAGCAAATTACATTGTCTTAAGCTCTCCGTGCAAGGTTTCAGTAGAATCTTAGTGCTTAGCAATAGCATGGAGTCTTTTACATGGACATAGGTAATTCTGTGTACTGTGTTTGCTGAAGGCCATACTTAATACTTACGTTGTCAGTAAAGAYCTGAAAATTAGTATTTGCAAAACAGCCAGTAAAATAAGTTGACTGTTTGCATAATGTTTTTCCACTGACCYTTGAGGGGAATTTGTTCAGCCAGGGCCCAGTAACTAGAGTTGTCTAGCTTTCAATATGGTTTTCAGATTGTTTCTTATGGCATAGTGATGTGTTCCAAGCCTAACGTTGAGTTTTCYCTTCCAAAATACACTATGTGGGAGCTTTATTTCATTCATGACACTGATGTGTATTATCTCTTACATCTGTCTTGTAAGCCTGAATCATATTAAATATGTTAAAACTTAATGCATGAGAATTCTGTATTACTGAGCAAGTGTTGTTTTCTCCAGGTCACTAATGTGAGTATTCCAAACTTCTGTTAGCAAGCTTCTGTTTTGTGGTCTCTGAAACAGGCTTCCTCTTCTAGGAGGCTTTAATCAGAGTAGCAGTACGTAACAGCAGCTTYGCTAGTCTTTGTTTACCTGAGAGCTAATGGGATTTTCAGAATCTGTATTACCAGTYAGTGATGGAAAATTACACTAGGCTAGGTTTACAATTCTACTGTCCTTTCTTATTTTATTTATTCTGATGTTGGTATAAAATGATGCTATACTTCTGCCCTTTTTTTGTTTTCCATTTCAGTTTAAAAATATGAGGAGTTCAATTTAAAATAAATGTTACCAGCTGAAGTTTAGTTTACGATTTTAAGGTGCTTTTGTASGGCACTGCCTTCCAGGTGGTGGTGTGAAGCTGAGCTATGTATTCAGYCATTGTATAATAATTTATTCCTGCCATATTGCTATGGCTGCTTTGCTTTATCTCTTCTGGCTTTCATTTGATTCTGCACTGAGCCAGTTCATCTTGATAAACCAACAGGCATTGCTTTCTGCTRGGCTCGTTTTCTGTCAGTTTAGCAAGTGAAAAGTGCAGTGCTGTGTCAGGGGAATACAGTTCACAGGTTATGAGATGGGAATTCTTCTATTAACTGGAATGAGTCATTAAATTAAGTAAATTAGGTTGTGATATGAAACACTGCTGTTGCAGCCATGAAGGCAGATAGCTACTGTCTGTGGGRGAGTACAGCAGTGATCGTAAGTTCATGTGGTTGTACATGAATCACCTCCCTAGGAAGCATTCACTTGTCAGTCAGGTTAGGATTGTTAGGATTGCCTACTCTCAGACAGCCTTGATAGTTGCCTTTATTTTTATTTGGTCTGCTGGTTTCCATGTGTCTGGAGTAAGTGAAGGAATAGCACTARTTGTATTTCTGGGGATTCATAATCTTGTCTTAATCTTTTCAGGTACCAATAATAAAACTTACTGACCAGGAGACAGAAGTGAAAGTTGACATCAGTTTTAATGTAGAAACTGGTGTGAAGGCAGCTCGATTTATCAAGGAATACATGAAGGTATCAGCCATATAATGATTGTTATGCTACTTACCAAGGATGTGTTAGATGCTTAGGTAACCTTTTTTGGTATGGCTTGAAAATTTATTGTTGAAGACTATTTTCATTAACACCAATTAATCTTGGATGCTATTATTAAATTTATTATCTATTAGTGTCCATTCAGTGTTCCCTTTGAGTGCTACATGTTTGAGTGAATAAACCTGTACACTGTGAGAGGACTTCTACAGTCATGTCTAGATCTGCAGATAGGTACTAAACTTTGCTTCTAAAGCAAGTCTCTTTTCAGGTTTTGTTTACCTTGAATTTAAGTGATGTTGCATTATGAATACTGTCTTGCTAAACTGTTAAAAAATAAGTCTTCTGTAGCTACACACTTAAAAGTTTACTTTTATGCTCTGTAGTAAAARTACTATTTAGAGTGAAAGCTCTGAGTGTAATAAGTGACACTGGCATTCAAAGAAGGATATAAAAATCTTACTGTTTGGGTGGGAAATAAATTTGATATGTAAGGTCTTCAAATAAGAGTTGAAGTCTATTAATCTGCTTCTAGAATTAAAAAAAGCATATTTCAGTTCTTCCTGTGGAAACACTACAGACCACCACTGAAAATATTTTTCAATGAATCTTTATGTGTTGAGATTGTGCAGTTATTTGTTCTGCAATGTTGACATTGTCATTGATAAGTCTTATTTTGCTTTGCAGAAATATTCTTTGCTACCTTATTTGATTTTAGTATTAAAACAGTTCCTCCTTCAGAGGGATTTGAATGAAGTTTTTACTGGTGGAATTAGCTCTTACAGCCTAATTTTAATGGCAATTAGTTTCCTGCAGGTAAGTGTGTTCCCTATTTGTTTCTATGTTTCTTAAAATTATTTGGGTCTTGTACCTATGTCTTTTTATTTTACTGTTTCTTCAGATGCCCCTTGTGATGCTCAGCATTACTGTTATGGCTCTGAGTGTTTGACTCTTGAAAGATCCTACCTCCCAAGTATCCAGGATGTTTTTTTGTATGAACTGGAACAGCAGCAGGAGSCTTGTGAAAGGCATAGAGGCTGAACCTGAATCACATTAATGGTGTTTCATAAATCTGTGGGATGCAGTTTGTCTGTTGCTTCTCAGACCACTGATACYGAGTATGCAGAATAGTTGATTCCAATGTTTATTAGAATGATGGAATCCAGAAGTCAAGTTGTTTTTTGTAATTATGTGTTGGTTACGTTTCGACATGCTTAAGGCTAGTAGATGCTGTACTTAACTGATGAAATAGCAAGTTACAATGTTACAAATAAGTTACAGATTCTAATATATTTTTGTGACAGTGAGTGTCACACAGGTACCATGAAGTATGAGGTTAGCATCTCTCAGCAGCTGTGGTAATGGAAAACTTACATATTCTGCTGTTGGTGGTGATGACTGAAATATTACTGTAAATTTTATATTTCAAATATTAKAGGTGGAGATACAGACACAAACTGTATTTCAGTTGGGGCAACTAGATTGCCYCCCATTTTCTGATAACATTGAGGGATGGATTTTTTGTGAAAAATGGGGTTATTGACTGTGTTATAAACAGTGTTATTGACTRGGCTATAATTTAGTGTGTAGTACTTCTTTATTGCTTTCGACTTAGGGAAAAGAATTCCCTAATCCTCACAAGCCTGCATGAGGAAAAACTGAAGAATTCTTTGGGCCCAGATACTGCTGAAGTGCTGCCCCCTCTCGGTTATGTGAGAGTGGTTTAAGCCCTTGCAGAGAGAGAGTTACTCGTTGAGATTTACATAAAGAAATATTTAGCTGATTAAATGAGAGCTTTTTGTTGCCCTGTGTTATGGTCTGAAAACTAGTAATTTTTAATRAGCAAAAACTGGTTTGTATTACAGCTACATCCAAGAATTGATGCCAGAAGAGCTGATGAGAACCTTGGAATGCTTCTAATAGAATTTTTTGAGCTCTATGGAAGGAATTTTAACTACTTGAAAACTGGTATTAGAATAAAAAATGGAGGTGCCTATATTGCCAAAGAAGAAATCATGAAAGTCATGACTAATGGATACAGACCATCCATGCTATGTATTGAAGATCCTCTCCTGCCTGGTAAGGCTATACACTTCTTGCAGTATTCCWGAGCTCTGGCTCATCTTGTGCTCTCAGCTTGCATTAGTCTGTCAAACGAGTTCAGAAGCTGCACTGGGAAGAGGCTGTTGCTGGTGTAGAGGCACAATCAGGTAGGAGGGCTAAGGGATATGGACCTGAGGTCTCCCAGGATTCTTAGGCAGAGTGAATTGGATTACGTTGAAACAGTGCAGTTGCATAATGCTCTGGAGAYCCAGAACCGTGTTGAGTACATAATAAGATTCTCTGACAGCGCCGAGAGGTAGTGAAAGAAAGAATTCTAGGAAATCCTGGAAGAGGGGTTGTTAATAGAACAGCTCTCCACTGTTTGCTCTGAGAATGAGATTGAAAGACGTAGCTTTTCCTGCCATGGTCTGTGGTGCCAAATTTTGGTTAAATCACACCATATGGCAAAGAAATGCCCCAGAGGCAGTATCTGTCCTGCAAGACAGTGCCACAGAGACTGTACAGGAACAGGGGTGGGTATCTGTGAAAACTGGGTGCATTGTGGTGGTGGTGTGGAGAGTGCTTTGCACAACTGGCTTCACTGCTGCACACGGATCTTTAGTCAAGGCCAGCTAGAGTTTCAGGGTTGAATGTTCTTTTGAAAATACTTAACATTAACAATTTTTTTTTTTCGATTTGGTTTTGATTCAGAATCCTCAAAATAATCAAGCTTAATATTGGCTAAATGCCTTAGGACAATTTGCAGCTTTATAGTACTCAGTTTCTATTCTATTTAGACTGTCGCAAGTAGCTGAAATTCCAAACCAGCTTTTTRACAAAGTAATTTTTCAGTTAATTTGGACTTCAGCACTGGTATTTCTAGAATGCAGTTGTCATTTAAAGTCCATACTGTCACATCTTGTGTGTAGACTGCTTATGTACAGCACTTTCAAAGCAAATACCACGGATCAGGAGCWAAGTCTGGCACCTTTCTAAATACTCAATATGTTGGGTTTTCATAGTTCCCTAGAACAGGTTGCAGGCTCTGATAGTCATTTATCTAACCACCTCTCTGAGTGTCTGATATGTTTGTTGCTCTGAGCTTGTGTCCCTCATGACCTTTCTACTTGACCAGCCATAGGTGTGATTTTGCAGAGCTGTCATTGAGATTTCCTTTAGGAGCTGTGTACTTACTTGCCTGAAGACCCATTTGAATAGCAGCATGAGCCACAATTCTTTAGAGTCAAAACTCTTTACTGCCCTCCAGTTCTGTTCCTTTTTATCTGCTGAGGACTGAAGGRGATCAAATTGCGTGTGCTACACAATGTTTTAATCACTGCTAATAGTACTCCGGAGAGGAAGAAAAAAGCTTTCAAGTCAAATAGGGGCTGTGAACTGTTCTTCCTAGCATTAATCTTGCAGAAAGGAAGAACTGTGGTTTAGAAGAAAGAACAGCTCTATGCTATCAAAGAGTTGGTAAGAATTAAATTCTAGAAGAGTATGTATGGACTGAGATAATGTAATTCTTACAAGAGATAGTGTTTTGGCGATGGAAATGAAAGCTGATGGTATTTTGAAGTTATGTGACCACTGTGTCTCGGGGATATTTTCTAGCAGCTACCACACATCTTCAGAACTTGTCTGATGAAGTTAGAAGAAAAATCATGTAGGACACATAGGATGGGTCTTTGAATCAGATCTGATGAGTACAGCCTCCTTAGATTGATACTTAATATTTTATTCCTACTGTATCTAAAATTACCTCTCAAGTGTATGTTAGTAATATCTATAATTCTGTTAATTAGTTTAGTTTTCTTATTTCTTCTGTGCCAGCACAAAAATATTTTCCAAGGATTAAGGTCCTTTCCCAGTTGGCAAGTCGTCATCTCTGATTAGTTTGTGTTCAGATCCCCTCACTGTCTTAACTCTATGAGWGTTGGTGGCAGTACTGTAAAGGAGATGGGAACAATTAATTTTGATAAAGAGTGGACACATATTTCTTGACTTAAATTAGCATAAGCTGGTGCAGAGTTTTACCCCTGCAAACCTGTGTTTGCACTATATGCACAGGTTTTTAATTTCATGTTTCAATCCTTTCRTTTTCTTGCCTGATCACTACTGTCTCTAAAGTTCCTGTTAAGCCTTGGAAGAATACTTGAAAAGATGGCTTCATAATCCACAAATGAGACAAAAAATACAGGGATGAAAAACCCTTCCCTTTTAATTTCTCAAAGATTATGACAGAAATGTAAAAGTCCCTCCTTTGAGTGTATATGCTAGTTCAGCAATGGGTTACTGAAGGGTCCAACTCCTAAGAATAGCTTTGAAGCACTCTTGTAGGGAATAGCAATATGTTTAGTGGGATTAGTTCCTTTAAGTTGGAGGAACTGTTTTTTCTTCAGTGTGAAATGGTGAGTAATGTCTGGCTAACAGGTGAAAGGTGTCATTGGAAGGGTGTGATACTTCAGTTCTGCCTGCACATTACGTTCTGTTAGTTCCTGGATTTGGAAGGAACAGGCATCCAACTATAGTGTTGTTTTGGTTACAGTGGAATTTGCTTAGATTCTGTTGGGTACTGTAGGGTTTCCTCAGACATTCTCAGAGGGTGATTATTGTGTGCTAGAAGGTGATAATTTCTGTGATTTAAGAAGTTTTTGAAGTCTGAATTTGAGTTGTCACACTAATCTAGTGGTGATGCATTTTGAGGTAATCATTTATACTTGATTTTTGTACATAGTCTAASATCTTTCATCTTGAGTTAATGTCCTAGGACAGGGTAATGGGATGAAAATCATTGCCATAGTATTTTCTAATGGAGAGAGTTTCCATAAACATCTTGCAGGTGCATCATTTCAGTTTCTGAAAGCAGTTTTTCTTTTTGTAAAATATGTAAAAGGTAAAAGCATTTATTGAGGAGAACTGCAAAGCCAGGCACTCAGAAGTTTGTTCACAGGAATATGTTGAAACAGGGTCGATGATGTTGTCATAAAGAGGTTTGTCTGGAGTTGGTGTAGCAGTCTCCTATCTTGGAAGACCKTGAACTGTTTGCAGTTGACAGATCTTTTAATCTGTGGCTGTGAAACAAGCTTGACATTTATTCAGCAGACTGTTAAGGAGGCTTGTTATTTTATGCCTTTGTTARTCAGGTGATTATCAAGGTCCTCCAGTCATTTCTGATGCTCAGGAGTGATTTCGGTCTAGTTTCAGATTGTTAGTGACTAGAGTAGCTTAATTGCTACTCTTTAACACTAAGTTTAAAACATGAAGTTATGCCTGTGCTGCTTCCTTGATAAGAAAGTTTGTTCTTCATTCTGGATTGCTGTGGACACTAATGAAAATCTAAATCTTAAATTCAATGTGTTTTCTTTGAAAAGACACTCTCTCACACGATATTTTATGCTTCATGTTGCTTGCTTCTRCATCTTGACAGGTCACAAGTACAAGAAATAAATAGATTGGAGATTGGAAGCATATATTGAGATTATCTCTTCTAACCTTAGGGCTGCCCTAAGGTTAAAAATTACTCACTTCAGCTTTCAATATCAGCTGTTTGTCATTAGAATCTGCAAATATATATGATTGTGTGAGTGTATAAAACATACATGTTTATAAAAATACACAAATACATTGAAGTTAGCATTTGAAAGACCCTCTTTAATGCTGAATGTTGCAAAAAGCTATTTACTAGCTAATAGCTTAACATAAATGCATCTGCTTCAGTCCTAGCTTATGGTCTTACCTTTACCTTTTCAGGCCATATTCTTAAAACTTCTTCAGGTAAAGGAAGGCTACCTGGTACAGTGGTAATACTGATAGCAAGTACTTGGAASTTTTGGACATGCTGCTTTAGGGATGAAGGCTTTGTAAGAAAGAATAAGGATTGAATTATACACAAAATCACACACCATTGTTATCTGCTAATACACATCTGAGGATTGAAGTATCTATTATTTTTTTAAAGAGTGACAGCATTTGGGTTGTCTGCTTTAACTGATCAGTCTAGGTTGTGACAAAAGAAGGATGATCAGTTATGTAAGACATGGCTCTCTAATGAGAGAGATCTCTCAGAAGAAAATCTATTCAGGATAGCAAATGCAAATGTGTGATCTTCTGGCTTCTTTAATATGTTTGTTGCTTTCTGGATTGGGTAGGGTCATCTCTACACAGACTTGACAGGTGAAGTTCACAGTAGCTCCAGTTGCAGCCCAAATCAGAAGCTCTGCAGACTGTATAATTGATCACGACGTGCTAATTGAGACATTTTTATGAGCCAGGTGCAGAATGAGGCAATCCAGGAACCTAAGCATGGTATGGAACGAGCTGTTCTGCCTCTCTCCTCAAATCTGTTTCAATCAAGACTCAAACACAACTTCATTGATTTAAATTAAATTGCCCAAGTTTTCTGCAAGTGGATTAGAGAAGGCTTATGATTTCTTTTGCTGGCACAACAGCAGAGATAGCAACAACTGATGAAAGGAATAACTGATATTTTGTGGCAGACCTGTCTTCATCTCGGTGTAACTTTATGCAGGATGCATGTCAAATATACCTGCTTTGCATTAGGTTAGGCTAAATTGATACAGATTGTTTGAGTGTGTATTGAGTGTGTGTTCTTAATTCATGTGAATTTATAGAATCATTTAGGTTGGGAAAGAGCCCTAATATCAAGTCCAAACATAGATGGACTTGAATTTTAGTGGTAGGGGCAATTGTGTGTGTTTAGCTACTTGTATGCCATTTCTATATTGCTTCTCAATTTAATTTTCTTTATATATATGTATGTTTAGAATATCATTTTGTGGCTAGACACAAGTGTCCTGCCTCTGAAAAACCTATACTGAATTAATCATTACTTTTCTGGTAGAATTTTGTGACCACTAAATTATCTTGGTCACTTTTCAGCTGCCTTCAGGCTAAGTCTTTGTGAAGTCCTCTGTGAAGAACATCACCATGWGTTTACTCCTAGATTCACTGTCCCAGATCCACACTGATCTCTGCTTTTGCTTCAGAATAGAGTCCAATAGTAAATAAACTATTTGGAGAGGCTTCTGTAATGTTGAGCCTAGTCACTGCTGGGTACCGCAGCAGTGCATTCAGAGCAAGGTTATGTCAGTAAACAGGAAATATTTCTTGATCAGTTTTTATTTGACCATGTAAATTACTGGGAAAATTCTGTTTTCCCRAAGTGCTCTTATGTTTTCAGGTTTTTTTTATTGATTATTCTTTTCTGTTAGAGTGGCATTATGGTTGAAGAATTTTGAAAGGATTAAAATGTGTAAAGCCAAGGCTATGTTTTTTTTTTTTTTTCCTTGGATGGCTGATCTCAGCATGTTTGTCTATAATGACTAAACACTTAGGGGAGTGAAGGGTTCCTCTGAAGTCAAATTCAGCCTTGTTGGGTTCAGTCCTCCAGAGGAGGGATTCTGTCCTTTACCCATCAATTTTTCAAAGCACATTTTTTRTTCATTTCTTTTCTTCATGGGCCCTGATCTGATTTTCATATTTGGAGGTTTATGTCTTTCTAGTCTTCTCATAGCATTTCACACATCATTCTGAAGGAGGGAGCCTTTCACTGTAAGCAGTTTTCTACCCACTCAAGACCTAGTCTGCATTTTRTGCAATTTGAAAGCAGTTTTATTTGTGCTTCTTAAATTGAGCGCTGACAGTGAATTTTGGTGTCTGGTGCCAAATCCATCTGCAGAAAGCCCCCAAATGTTTTCTGCTAGTAATAGCAAGAKTGCTGTAGGTATCAGATGGGAGATCCATTCTTGTACAATGTCATGATACAGAAGGTGCACCATGTTCTTAACTTSGGCATTTCCTCACGTGGCATTAGATTTGGAAAGAGTTCCAGCTAAAGTGTYAATCATGCCTAAAGAAGGGCAGTTGAGAGTGCCACAAACGTGATCAAAAAACAATGCTATATAATCTTCTGGAATCTGCTGTGATAGGTATTTGAAATACTGGCTTGTTCTGTGGGGATAAATATCWGTATGTGCTGCTTTATTAATCTGTAGTTTTGATAAGGGTAAAGATAGTTTGATGTGAGTGTACCTGACCCCATAGAGATCATGTGGTTATACAAATGAAATTTTAAACTCAATTTGACCTGCAGGAACTCTACTGGTAAGTGAGACATGATGCTTTAAGCTTGGTAGGTTCCCTCTTGGAAGACAGCTGTAAGAGCTTTAAGCTGACCTTTGTGCTCTGTTTCTTTCAAGCACCATATGTGAGTATTTTGAAAGTGGTAAATTGAATGCATAATGTTAAGTGTTGTTTCYAAGGTCAGCTTCTTTCATTGTAATAGGTGCACTTAGGTGTTCCTGATGCGGGTAGGATGGGATACCCRGTTTAAACAGAGTTAAGCTGTGTTCTTAAGGCTTTTGAGCTTTAGGTATGAATAATTTTTGGTAATTTATATTAAAAAAAAAGATGATCTAATGACTGTCACATTATTTCAGGAAACGACGTYGGCAGAAGTTCTTACGGTGCCATGCAAGTGAAACAAGTTTTCGATTATGCCTACATTGTTCTTAGCCATGCAGTATCACCACTTGCAAGATCATATCCAAACAGAGATTCTGAGAGGTAATTAGTTTGTTTTTTCAATCTCTATTTGTCTGTGTAACCAGTTAGGAATGTTTGGGTATAGAKCCATAAAAGAATATTGTTGTTGTTTAACTGTGTTTTATTGAAATCTGCACAGAAATTTAAGCTTTCCAGGGGTATGAGAGTTCAATGCCTCAATGTGCAGTGTTKAAATAAAGAGAGTATGATAAAACCCAGGTTGAGTCCAATGTGAAATTCTGTTAGTGTAGAAGGGAGCCAGAAGATAATTGGTCTTATTAAAAACTTCAAAGGAGGATTTGCTGGTTTAATGTTTACTATATTACATGTCTGTATTGTGGCAGAAAAAAAAAGTGTAATCAAATTGCTTGTTTAGACAATTAGCAAACTAGACAACAAGGCAAAGAATTTCCCTGGTTCTTTAATACATGCCCCCATAAGTGTTTTAAAAGACTCGGTATGTATTTAAGAACTGAAGAATTAAAAGTATTATATGAAAGAAATAAAAATATTAATTAAATCAGTTCTGTTTGATCATAATGTGCGAACTGCCATTAAAAGTTGCGTACTTCTAGACATGCCATTTTTAATCCAGTTCTTAATGTCTTTCATTCATAGAAACACAACCAGTACTTTCTGAGCTCTCACCTTTGCAATTTCTGTTTTTTTGAAAGGGAGAGGAGAAAGATAATAAAGGTGTGGTAGCCATGTGGTATTTCTATTCATGTATCTGCTCTAGTACTGTTTGTTCTAACCCTCAGTGTGAATTTGGGCTAGATCAGAGGATGTCTCTTCCCTGAGACTTGCCTAAAATCCCAGTTAATCACAGGGAACAATGGCTGTCATAAGTCACATAAACCATCTCGATACATCTCTAGTCATGATGTAAACTTCCATCACTGGTCATTGGAAGGTGAGATCRTTTTCCTCTAGTAAGTTTGCATCAAAACAGACACAGTCTTTCACTTGAGAGTTCAAAACTGACAGTACTTTAACAGTGCCTGTAAATCCTTTAATGTTTCAGTGGTATTAAATTCACAAAGGTTGAGACTGCATTGTGTTGGAGATACARAGTGGTACAGAAGTGGTACAGAGTGTTGCACACCAACATTTTGAGACTGCTGTTTTAAGATACATTAAAGGTSTCTCTGTTAAATGTGTATTGACTGACAATTCTAGGTACTGAATGAAATRTTTTTCTTACCCAAATATAGATAGGCAAAACTTCAGGAATCCCTAAGTTACTCTATCTCAGCTCCTGGCCTCCATTAACTGCTGTTTTTCTCTGAAGGATGAAATAATTCTCTTATGTGGTATCTGTATTTACTACAGACATCAAAAAGTATATTTGTAAAGCATTGTAATRGAAGCCTCAACTATCATCAGTATGCACTTTGTGTGTACTTGCGCTTATTGCTGTGTCTGGGGAAATRTTTGAATTTTGTCACAACTGCAAACCTGTGGAGCGGTCCCAGCAGCAATGTTCAGGTGTCGTATCTGACCTAAGAGTTGTGGGCTGCCTTGAGATACAGGGACATCTGGATCTCAGAACCCATCATGCAAGAGGAGCAGCATTCAACAAAGTTCTGTATACAAATAGCTCCCCTAGCACCAGCCTTGTCAGTTCCAAAGGACCTGTAAGTGGATGATGAGCTGTTTGGTAACAAGTTTGCTGCAGAAATCAACAGTCCATGTTTGATTTCAGTTAAACCTGATGTGCTTGGGTAATTCAAGTATGTTTGTGGAGCCCTCTTCCTGCTGTAAGGCAGAGTGGTCCATACTCTGTATAAAGACTTTTCTGGTGGCCTGACCTAAAGCCTGACCATCTGGGAGCCCTTTTCCTGATCCATTTTTTCCGTTTTCTGGACTTGTTAGTAGGYAGGTTAAACTAAACAATGGGCTCCAGTTAAGATCAGGGACTGGCTACATGACTTTCTATTGGCCGGGTGCAGACTAAAYGAAGAGGACTTGAAACGATAGAAAGTTGCAGAAGGCTGAACTCCACAAGCTGAGTTTATTCAGTTTTGTCCTAATTTGGGCTAGCTTTTTCCTAAGTCAGGTGGTTTGTTCTTGAACTATGATGGTTTTGAATTCATGTTTTCTCTTTCCAGGGAAGGTTTCTGTGTGCAGAGTTCTCTTTTGTAGATAACAGTCTCAGTAGATTTCACATCTTTCTYAGTGGTTGTTACCGTTCTTTTTCAGGGTCAGTCCAACACAAATGACCAAATACATACATTAMGGCTCTCTAGACAGCTGCTCCTTCTGATATTCCCAGTGGGAAGAAAATGTCACATTTTAGTCCTTCAGCAGCATAGCCTTTTTTCTTCTTCGTCTTCTGTAGTAGCAAGTCCCAAATAATAATAAGGGATAGATTCACATCACTCTTACCACCATCTTCATGCAGGCTTCAAAATAGAGCATCTGAGGTGTAGTGGGAATTAAAAGCTATCTTCTGTCATTGAAAAGCTTTCTTCTCAGTGGAAACAATAATCAGCTGAATCCTGAAGGTAATTCTTACAGCTACAGAAATTACCTTAAAACTATTTTGTCCCYAGTCAATCTCACCTGTCCCCTTGCAAGAACAGGAGAGCTTGATTGACAGTTTGGTTGATTTTATTAGAACCAACAGCTTCGTGTCATATTGGAAAAACAAGTTTCCTTTTAGGAAAATAAAGACTGATCCATTTTGAACTTGTTCAACTTGTATGCAAGGTAAAGTTTGGTGTTATGTCTTCAGGCAAGATGAYTGAAAATCATGATTGATTTCTTAGTATTTAGGGCCACAGAGACATAAGTCTAGCTGTGTAATATAGTTATGTACAGGATATCTCCTGCTTAAGGATTCGTGTCAGTATGTACTTTGAGCAGCTTTCATATAACTTTTGCCCCTAGCCTGTCTCTGGGAAAGAGTGTGTCATCTTAAGTGAGCTCACKTCTTTAGCCTGTGAGGAATGATATTTTCATAGAATCATTTAGGTTGGAAAAGACCCCTAAGATTATTTGGTTCAGCTGTTGACCCATCCACCACTGTGCTCACCACTAAACTATGTCCSTCACTGCCATATTTACATGTCTTTTAAATATACCCATGGACAGTAACTTCATCACTTCTCTGGACACSCTGTTCCAGTGCTTGAGAACCTGTTTGTCGATGAAATTTCTCCTAATATCCAAKCTGAACCTTCTGTGGTGCAGCCTGAGGCCATTTCTTTTTATGCTTTCATTTGTTACTTGGGAGAAGAGACCARTGTCCACCTGGCTACAATCTCAGGAASTTGTAGGGAATGATAAGGTCCACCCTGAGCTTCCTTTTATCCAGACTAAACCTCAATCCTTCYAGGCCTCATGCTTCATACCCTTCACTAGCTTCACTGCCTCTCTTTGGACTCATAGTTTCAAGTCACTGATGATTATTCCAGKTCTGTTTCTTTATAAACCATAGGAAACCCAAGCAGATATTTGGCAGCAAGCTCTTCCTTACTGGTTCATGTTCATTGAAATAGTGGATTATCTGTTACCACCCTGTCCATGGCCTCTATATTAAGGTGTAATTTCATGTTAGACCTTGCCCAGCCTACCTACCTGTGTACTGTCTTCTGTCAGCTGTGCTTTTCTTTCCTTCTCAGTCTGAATCTTGCCTTACATGAGCTGTAGCAATCCTGCAGTCAGAAGGCAAGTCAGATGGCCTTTCTGGTCTGACTGAAAGTAAGTATCTCAACACTTCCGTCATGTCAAGAAGTTGATCTGGCATGTGCCTGATGACGGGCAGATCAGAAGCAAGAGAAGCAGCAGGAGTTCACATTTGGGGCAAGAGGGAGAGAGTGATATTATACCTTTTCACAGCYTAAAGTTATGGTGATATGGATGTGACAAAAATCCATCCTTAGATTAATATTTATATTTTGCAGATTGGAATTTTGGCTCACATGCTGGTCTGTCACATACTTCAGCTTTGAATGTGTGCTCAGACTGCATCTCTAAACAGCTGTGTAGCCACGTTTATGAAGCAGATGGGGTAATATGGATGAGAAATGAAAGACTTGGTTTTGCTATCACATGTCCTTTAGATATAAATAAGACTTTGGAAATCTTTTGTGTTGTGCTAGACATGGTGCAGGTGGATAAGGGAAAGAGACTGTCGTGCCAGCATGACAGAGTTTGAGAAAGCCTAGGTGGTTTCTGACTGTCTGGAGTTGTCGTTTACAGGTGATAGTCTTCAAAACAATCACAGCCAGATAGAGATCTTTCCATTTCTGTGCTTGGAAAGTTGTTTATTCTTCTCTTAGTGTACAGCTTAACTGATCTAACTGCTGACTGGTCTATATGTTAGGTTTGGGTTGCCTTTGTTCTGGAAGTTCTGGGAGCTGTCAAAGGGAATGTTAACTCTGCCTGCTGGATCTGCTGACACAGAGAGGAGTTATGTGCTGTCTGAAACAGTGCTTTCTTTGCTTCACATCTTGAGTGGTGGTGGCTGTCGCTAGAATGCCTTCTGTCCCTTACAAGGTGTTAGTAATACCAGCTTTTCCAGATTATTTTTTTGGGTAAAAGGTTTTGTTTTTTTAAAATTCCTGTATTCAAGCAGGTCCTACTGAGGTGCACCTTACTGTGCTTCTAGAATATATTGCACCTTTAATACCTGGGGGATATTTCAGTTATTTAGCTCTTAGAATATACTGCACTTTTAATAGCTGGGGTATATTTCAGTTATTTAGAACATTCTTTCACAGACTTGATTTTTTTTAGGTTCTGCTACTCATTTGTTCATGTGGAGCTTGGATGGAGCTTTACAYATGTCATTTTACTGAATGTCATGTCTGATCTTTTTAAGAATGATCTTAAGATTGACTTTCCCAGTAGTTGTGTTGTAATGACAGTTATAAAGTGTCTCTGTRGACCAAGGTCTTGCAACGTGTAGAAGGAGGAGCTTGTGAGTTCTTACTATAAAATAAACTAGACCTGTAAAGAGCTTATTCCTGGTCTTACTAAATGATAATATTTAGGGAAAAACCCTAAAGGGGCATSTTTCATGGGACAGCTATCTTAATTTTACTAACCAGTTAAACRTATTTTTTTCATGTCTTCCAAACAAGCATTTTTGAAGAAGTGTGTGTCTTCTACAGACWTTTGTAGAAATTCTGGCCTCGGTCAAAATAAAAGCCCCAAAACKATGAAATTTTCTTATAATAAAGGCAGGGTAGATTAATAGGTTTTTTTGTTCCTAAGCATTTCCAGTGTTGAAAACAGATTTAAACACAATTTTCAAATACTTACTTTAATATTATTTTCTTTGAATCCATGGATATGYTTGAGTCCCATACACAGGAAATGTTGTTCTTTGAGATCAGTACMTGGTCTGATCACACTTGCTTCCGCTTTCTTTGCTGCTCTATTAAGTATGTGTCATTATAACCTTTATCACCTTTCAGTTTCTGATGTCATAYAATGAATGTTTTTAATTTTGCTGCACAGGCAATGTAGCATGGATCTGCCTTTGAACTCCTAACCTTATAAGTCAGTGAATTTCTTTTTTTCTAYCTTTTTACCAAAAATGAGAGTTTAGGGCTTTGATCTTTGTGCTGTTTCAAAGGAAACGGTGAGAGAGCATATCCCCCCATTCTGTATGTGCAACTATGCCAMATTATTGATGTTGCACTACCTTCACCCATTAAGCCTATTTGATAGCAGGCATTTTTGGTGTATCCGTCACCCAGTCTGATAACAAYACCAATGTGTATTGTTCATTTTCCTTCTGGTATATGAAATCATGACTATTGATTTACTTCCAGGAAGTACTCCAAGAAGCATCAGGCTTGACAAACTCCTTAGCTGTAAGAGCTTGTGTTACTCAGCCTGTGTTCACTTTCTAGTTCTAAGACCACAGCTGGTGATAGTTGTGAAATTTATTTGTTATCCTCAAGTAAAAGCTCAACTCTTTCTGAAGACATTCTCAGATGAAACTTTTTAACTTAAAGATTACTTTCACTATCCTGATGCTGAAGAGACCCAGCAGTTTCACACTGGCATTGTTGTCTTGGGAACTGCAGCTTTAGGGCCACAGCTGAATCTCTGCAGTTTTGGTCATCCCTGTCTTCATTCTGTCTCCTCTTGCTCAACTTACTTTTTGAGGCTGAGAAACCAAAACTGCACTGAGTATTTAAAATTCTGTTACATCATGGGAGTATACATTACCAAAATGTGATCCTCCGGTTTGTTTGTTCTTTTCTTAGTGTGCTCTGCTTAGCTGTTGAACTGTGGTTCAGCTATTATAACCCAGATYTTTAATTTCTGAGTGTTGACAACCACACCTCTTTAATGTTGCATGTAAAATTCAAGATTTTATTTTCCAGCATGCATCATTTTTTCTACATTGCATAAATAGAATGGTTGATGGCATACATTCTGTTCTGGTGGCCCATCTGCAGCTATTGTACTTKTAATTTAGATTATATTATTTGGTTAAATGTTTCCTTAAAATGCTGGACTGACCTTCTCAGTACTAACAGTGGCATATCTTTAAAGTTGGAAGACTAACATGGAACATGAGGTGTTTGGTCTTGCATGAAATATTAATCCCAAGGACAGCAGGAGGATTATTGCTACTTTTTAATGTGTTGCTCTGAAACCTAATAAATGTAGTCTGAATATATTAGGGTTTTGTATGCCCTGCATTCCCATTGTATGCCTAAACCAGAAGAAAGTTCCAGTACAGGTACAAAGTACCTTTATGGTGTGAAATACAAAAGAATTTTTAATGTAACAATTGAAGATTAAAAAAATTACTACCTGCTCCAAAGTGGTAACTTTGCACAGTCTTTTTTTGTGCAGTAGTCATTTCTTCATGCATCAACTCAGCATGGAGTTTATAGTAAATGTTTCAGTGACTGATCTCTGATGAAAAGAAAGCTTGAAAATTCTTATCTCTCAAACAAGAAGGCAACTCACTCCTTCTCAAGAAGTCCAATTCATGTAGCTCAGTGTTGGGAAAGCATGCTGGAAAAACACTACTTTGTTGATAACTGGTCACTGTTCAGCAGGACCAGGTAAGCTTTTTCTCTGAGCCTCTTACTGCTATGAATTTTTTGAAATTCTGACCTGTTTTGTAGCCAGTCTGTTTCTTGTTCCACTACCTCATGATCCATGGTATTTCCTTTATAATTGTGTGGGCCTTAATACCTTTTAAGTTGTCTTGTAAATCTGTAAGCAAGCATTAGTGAACGTCTCTGTCTCCAGACAGTTGCGGTACTGGGGTGTTTGTGTCTTCCATGCATCCCATACCTGTTTAGAATCCAGATTTTRAGGGAAAGCTTTCTGTATGCAGAAATGCAAGAACCATAAATGGCTTTTATCAAGTACACTGTTACTAGCATGTACATTCTTGGTAGCTAATATGCATTCCATTTGGAAATACAGAGTAAAAATCTTACCACTGCTTGCATGTTAGTATGGTAGAAAAGAAATAATATATGAATATAAAAACTGTGGTGCGTCCGTGGATTAAATGGTGTGCTAAAAAAGAAGGTTCAAAAAGATTCTTTGGTTAGGGATATCTTAAACTGACTTTTATCATAATTTGGTAGCTTGTTAAAATGCTTGCAAAAATGTAATCAAGTCTTTGTTTAATACTTAATTGAAAAATTTTTTTAGCACATTAGGTAGAATCATCAAAGTGACCCAAGAAGTGATTGACTACAGGGCCTGGATTAAAAAGAAGTGGGGGAGCAAAATTAATTTATCACCTGAACTTGGTAGGTATAGCAGGAAACCAACTTAAAATTTTTTTTTGAATTTGATGTTATTCAAAATACTCATGCCTTGAAATTAATCATTCAGATATACAGGAAAAAAAAAAGGAACTTGTAACTTTCTAACCCAAGATTAGTTTTCTCTGAGCCTGTTTTTCAATTAGCTTGTTAAACTGCAGCTCTTCTTAGACTTCAAGTCCCATGTGTTTGTATTCTGTGCTCTTTAATGATACTTACATTTTCTGTTAACAGATAATAGGTTGAAAATAAGAGACCAGATAACTCTCTGCAATGGAGAACAGCAGCAGAACAGAGACTCTGAACCATCTTACAATCAACACTTGGCGCTGTCATTGGCCAGTACACAACAGTTATCCTCTGGTTCATCTGCCTCTTCCGTGTCGTCACTCTCCAGCAGTGACATTGTAAGCTTTTMTTTTAATGGTTACACTAGTGAGTAGAAGAGTTTATCATACTSTTCAAAGTCTCAGTTGATACAGCAACAGTTAATGTGATACTATCCTTAAGCTGCTACAGCAAAACAGTGATGGCCCCTGCTCAGAATAATTACTGAAACCAAATTATTTTTTCATTAATTTAAATGGGTCTTATTTCTGTCCTAAATCGTTAGTAGTCTTTATGGTAGTAGTTAGATGCAATGAAATATAACAACCCATTTTAACAGTCACTAATTAAGTAGAAGAGTAGAAATGTCTTCATATATCCTTCCATTAAGCAAAATCTTACATTGCCAAATTCTGATCCTTGTTCTCCATATCTGAAATTAAACACGAACATTATATTGTGCTGTGAAGGTGAATAATATTCCTTATTTTCAGCCAAGTAGTCAGTTCATGTTTTAAYGGTAAAGTCTTGTTGTCAGCTTCCTTATTTGAAAGTAATTGCTGGACTTTGTTACAAGTTCCTGGAAGAGGAGGCTGCTGTCTCTTGAGAATGTTGCCAGGATCTTCTTGAAGGTTCTGCCAGGTGGTTTTGCTTTGGTATAAAGTTAAATTAGTGTGGAATTGGGCGGTGCAGATTATAAAGCACATTAAAAGGCATGAGCAGCTCATTATAAATCTTCTGAAAGGCATGAGCAGCTCATTATAAATCTTCTGAAGCATTTTGTCATAGCTAGAGGCATTGATGGAACCAGATGTAATATGCAGTCAGCTACAATACTGAATAACTGGATGATGCCAAGAGAGAGCTCCAAATACCTGTTTCTTGACTGCTTTCAAAAACTAGTCAAATATGGAATTAAAAATTAGGAATTGTATTCAATAAAAATTTAATAACTTTTGATGGACAAGCACTACCTTTATATGTCCTGGTTACTTTCTGTAATTACTTTTTTGTTTTGAATTGCCTTTTCATGCAACCTTCAGTAAAGAGGACAAACGTTTTAGTTGTACCATCTGGCTCATGAACAAAAAACAGCATGGTGCTTGCCAGTGATAATACTAGCCATGCTCCTGTTTGAAGTATGTCAAGTGGGAAAGATTTTGCTGTAATAAATTTTATGAAGAAATGCATGCTTATTACATTGGGAGTGCACAATAATGGGTAGTGAGTGGTTATGAACTCCCCTCAGTCCTGTCTTGCCTGATGTCGAAGGTGAAACTTYATTGCCTGATGGCAGAGAAATTAAGGGAAAGTGAAAAGGAAGCTGTCAACAAGACAGGCCTGAAATCAACTTGGGCATTGACAAAGTAAAAGGAAATKCTACCTTTTCTAACAAGATAAGAAAACACGTCCATGTCCTTGTGACAGTCTCTAGTTTAAGGCCTGGTCATATATTGGATTATGTCCTTAGGAGACTGATACAGCATGTTATCTTAATTTGGAACTGAATGCCAGGTTTCTGACAAATAACTGATGAGTTCATCCTACTTTTACTTGGGCAAGTGAGGAGGARCAAGTTCTGGCTTAGCAGTCCTGAGCTGTACCCGATTCAGAAAGAGAAATCTATTCTGCTACAGTCAGGTGATCCTTGTATGGTCTGGCATAATGCTGTGCCCAAGTTGCAGCAGAGGAACATCTGACATGTGTAACAACTTGGTATTTGTGCCAAAACTTCTCATGCAGCATGGATAGACATGATGTGGTGAGCTTTGCTATCAGCTTCAGAAAAAGGTAATTATCAATATGGTGTATSTCATCACTTTAGAATTATATGTATTGTTACCTTTGATCTTGTGGAAGGATCATTCTTCAGGAAGGATTCTGTATTTATTTGAAGTTATCRAGTCATCTGAACTTCTCTGATACTGGAAGACTGAAAGCAAGGTATAAAGAAAATGCAGGAGACAAGGAGACTCTAGAGTTACAGCTTGCTGACCTCTTCCCAGTAATTAAGGTTTTATTTTAATAGCAGGGTATTATTCCCTATGTCACTATTAACCTTAAGCACAAGGTCTACATTAAGACATTGTTTCAGGAGGTGTATTTTTCATGACTGCAGAATATCTTTTGCTGTTCATAAGGTACAAGATCCTAGCTGTTAAATTGGAGGGACTAGTTAGTGTATTTGCTTTTCTATTTACTGCTAAATTTTCACTGGTAATAGTGATCAACTGCATCTGATCCTTTCTGAGTTCTACTTACCAATATAATAGAATTCAGCTCACTTCTGTTGAGGAAGAGGAAATAGGTTTTGAAACTTGTGGCATTACTTTGTCACATTGCCCTTCTCCAGCCATCTACTCCAGCATAGAAATAGTTGCATTCTGAAGTCATCACATTGCTGTTCACTGGTGGTAAGTCTGGAGGCCTTGCAACATGTCCTGGAAACAATACTGGCAGTATATTTTGAGGGTGCAGGCATTATCAGAGCAGTGCAGTATTGCTCATAGGGATCCTAGAATTTTTATTAAACGCTATTGTTTAATAGTTGTTTGCTATGCAGTGTGCTGTATGGTTTTTAAAGATTTGCTTCCTTGGAGTTCTGACAGCATTACAGGTTTTGCATTAATAATCTGCAAATATGACTCAGCAGCTGCTTAAATAAGGGTTCTGGTGTCTGGGACTTATGGGTCTCTCAGCTAAAGCAATGTTTATAGATCTATTCTGGCAGCAGGAGAACAAGTCTCAGAACAATAAAAAGGACCATGTTTTACTCGAGACTGGATTGGCATAAACATTCAGAGCTAACATTCAGAAGCCAGTTTCTCAATATCTGTATATGCTCAGAAAAATGGTAATGTAGGGATACAAGAGCTTTCGGTTACGACCCTGAGTTCTCCATACTGGTGACAACCTTTTGAAGATGAGAACTTGAGTACCACTGAGCAAGAAGACAGTCACCTCCTTCAAGGATAGTCTTCTTTTTCCCCATAGATTTATGTGCTTTTCCTCTGCATACCATCTGAACTCAGGAGGATGTTTGCTTTTATCTTTGCACATCTAGGAGTAGCTTGTAGCAGAACACACTTCTGGGCCACTGGCTACACAGCCCAAAATTAAGAGCTGCATCTAATGAGACCAAATTATAATTTGAACAAGAGGTATCCTTTTATGGATTTCCCAAGGTAGCAAAGCTATTTACAAAATGCCTTAGTGTAGCACTATTTGGCCAATGAAATTCTAGCCATGCTGTCTTTAGTAGGCCTCCTAGCCARCTGGATAATCTTAATCACAAAGGACAGCTTTTCAAAGGGCCAGTAAATTCTGRATCAAAGACTGTGCAAGAGAAGCCTTTCTTTGGGTATCATTGTTAGTATTAGTGGGAGAGCTGTTCAGTTTCTGGGGTTGTCTTACTGAACATGTCAATGCAGAACTCTTTCCCTCACCAGTACTTCTGACATAGTTSTTTGCAGAATACTGAGTATTAAAATTCCTGCCTTGTTTCYTTGGCTCTATGAAGAATGTAAATATTAGTGATCAGGAGCAAACTAAAGAACACGTTTAAAAACCATATGGATACAAGAAATCTGGTAATCGGAACATACTTCACTGTTCAAATAGGTTTTTCTCAATTATGTGAACTATCAAACTGATCTATGTAGTAAGTCTTCTCTCAGTGAAGCTTTCTGGTGATTTAAAATATGCTACACTGCTCTGGAAAAAAKCAGTGTATATTCCTCACCCCTGCAAACAGGTAAGTTGTACAATATGATGCATTCCCACATGATCCAACAAATGTTGAAGTGAATAATGGAAGATGCTTTATAAATGTCTTTGC